AAACTTGAGTACGAACTTATACAAAATGCAGCAAGATATTTAAAAAAAAACAGTTGCATTGATTATAAAATACAAATGCTCAACCAGACCGCCGACATGTCTCGCACGCCACAGCTGCTCTATCACGTGACGCATACCGCTCCGACGTGAGGTCACGAGTTGGGCTACGCCATGTCGCAAGTTTTGTGAAATATTTTTGTGATATTTAATGGATCGGATTACATTGACTGATACGTAATATCAGGTTGGTCCATCCCTACCTTTTATATTTTGTTGAATTTTTGTATTTACTTGTGAGTCTGCATTTTGGGTCCAAACTCATCACTTCACAACATGACACAGTGAGGAAAAAATGCTGACATTCACTTTGAATGTCCTCGCTCTCATCAGAATACAGATGTAAACAACGAGTCAAGGTTTTACTTCAAACCCACTGTGCCAGAGAACAGGGCCAGTGCACACGTGGTTTATTAATCATTTATTATTAATGTGTAATGATTAGCTAGATCCACCAGCTTTTATTGTTGTTTTTTTGCACATTAAGCATAAAAAACGAAAACACATTCAATGGAATGCAAGTGAATGTGACTGACCAGGGAATAAAGAAAAGACGTCACAGTTTTTAAAGCCCTCTGCCGATCAGATCCACAATATGTTATGGATATTTTAATTCCCCAATTTCCCTTCAGTTCATTGAGGTCATCCTCCCGAAAACTTCTCTCAGTGGTCTCCTCTCTCCTAAAAAACGTGCCGAGGCGAGCTTTCTCTGCTGTTGCTTCTGGGCTCTGGAATAATCTGTCTTCCCACATAAGAACCGGTCCAGTGATTCGCAATTTTAAATCAAACGCAAACACAAGTCAAGCCTGAGATGCTTCGTGGTTTTGTCAAACCATGTTTCCATTACATTGGATTTTATTTGTGCATTTAATTTTCTAATTGATTTTTTTATTTAAGCCCTTTTATAAATTTAACCCAGGGCGTTTATACAATTTTATTTTGTTATCTCATTTAAATGGTTACTGTCATGTTTTTTTTAAATCTTTGTTTATGTGATCTTGTTGCTATGTACACTTACAGTGTAAGTAAAGTTACCTGACTTAATGAGTGAGCTCTCCAAATAGGGAATTTTAAGGCTCATAGTGTTGGTATGTTAAACTGAATCCCCGTTTTCTTTGTGTCATGTCAGAAAATGTGGGCCCTGATCCACAGTTTTAATAATAGTGATTAACAGTACTGTAAAAATTTGCGATAGAAAACATGCAATTTAAACAATGCAACGATTTACTTTCAACATAAATATTAAGAAAAACAATGCACTTAAAGTTTTTTCCATGCTTTATGTAATATGTAGAACAGCGATGCTGAACTCATCTTAAATTGAGGGCCACATACAGCTCACATTGATCCAATTTTCCAAATGGGCCAGATTTGAGTCTTTGAGGATCAATTCAGGCCCCTGAACCTTATGATTGACACCACTCATGTAGAAACAACAAAAATTCCCTGACCACTTTTATGTGGTTTTTCAGGTTCCTGGCAGTTGCTGTGAAATCAATTTCTAAAGCCCTGGTCATAGAGACCCGTCAGTAACGCCCTAGTAACCACTGGTTGCTAAGGAAAATAGATAATTCTCTATTCAGTTGACAATAATAAAAAAAATAATAGAAAAAAGAAAAAAATTGTCTAATATACAATAAATAAACGATATAGTTAAAATAAAGGTGTGACAGGCGCATAGTGAGGGCTTACGGAAAGTTTCAGGCTTTTTAAGATTTACTACTGCTTGCTGATGTTTAGTCAGTGGGTGTTTGGAGGCAAATTGCCATCTTCAGTGCAAACTACAGGCAGCCCTAGCAATCTGACACCAACCAAAGCAGTCTTAGGGAAGTTTGTAGCGTGGAACCCTCTTTGATGCCAATCGAGGAATACTCACTTTTCCCTAGTGACCGAAGGTCCTGCAGGCTGCCAGGACTGTGAGACTGAAGCTAAAAGCAGCAACTAATAAAAGAGAAAGTGAAATGTGGCTGTGACATCTTCTTTTTGTGAATGCCTGTTTCAGTACTTCGAAACCAGAGGTGTCAGTCGTTTTATATCACGGGCCACATACAGCCTGCTTTAAACATAAGTGGGCAAACTGGTGAAACTCTGCTTCCTGTGTAAAGAAGTCAATTTTTTTAACTGTTTTTCTACATGTTAAAGAAAAAGCTGCTGTTACAAAAACGGAAATCTGTCAGCGTGACTCTGCAAAATTACAGAATAAGTTCTGGCAGCTCATTGCTCAGACTTTCCAGTTTTCTATTTTTATTTTTGTTTATTTTTTTAACAGTAGTCATAAAACAGGATTGGAGAAGTTTGAAACCTTTTGTCCTCCACAATAGAAAATAGCTGAAAATAAAAAAAGGTATCACTGTAGCCAGCCCCTAATTCTGTAAATTCTGCACTCAGCTTTGCATTGAAATGCAGCCAGACACTGCTCAGTTTGCTTCACTTTTTCCCAACACGCTTGCATTTGAATCCAGTGTTTTGCCAAAAATTGATTGTCCGCCAAAAATCGCTATAAAAGCTATAAATCACTCGTTGGTCCATGACATGTGAAATTATGGTCCCTCGTGAACAGTATAATTCATATAATTCATCTTGAGCTACAAACATTCCTGTCAGCATGTAGTTTTTGGCACTTTTCATATATCCTTTATTTATCCAGTTAAAGGGTCTGGCCAAGTGGGCGGCAGAAATTGCAAAAATATAGCAATAGTGACTGTGAAAGAAAACCCTCTCATGGGCACAAAATATGGGTCAAGGGTCAGAACAACTCCGTGAAACAGCTGTAAAACCCAAGTGCTCTCGAGCTTCTGGACACTCTTGTTCAGGGTTTTCTGCTGGAGAGACGAATTCGTGGTTCCATCAATTACAACAAGTCTTCCAGCAGCAAAGCAACCCCAGACCGTCACACTATAGTGGTATACCACCACCATGTTTGATTGTTGGTATCATAGTCTTTTTACGTAATGCCTTGTAATGACTTTTTCACACACGGTCAGGTCGACTTTTTCCCCTTAATAAATAAAATCAGCATTTGAACACTGCATTTCGTATTTGCACTGCATGTTTTTGTCCAATATTAAAATTTGTTTGATAATCTGAAAAACCTAAGTGCAAGAAATATAAAAAAAGATGAAATCAGGATGATGGAAATGTTATTTTCACAGCACGATTCTTTTAAGTTTGTGATCTCACTCTTTGATTTTAAAGCCAGAACTTACTCGTGCAAAATTTGTGGAGTTTAGTATAATCCCGCACTGCATGCATCATGTTTTAATTCATGTTCAAATTGTTGGTGACTGAGTTGTTTGTTGGATGAATTACAGGCCACTTCCATCAAAGGATCAACACTCTGTTCTGTTTTTGTGTATGATGAACATAGAAAGAGAGATACAGCCTGCTTTACTTGAAATATGACCACATTTGAGAGAACTCAGGCAGTCATGGAAGAAAACAGTATACCGGTGTCTCGAGAGTCTTCCAATAACCATAAAGATAGACTTAATTTCACACCTTTGTCTGAGGCAGAGGGAACATTCACACATAAAGAGAGCAGTGGAGAAAGAACACAAAGTGACATCATGTCTGCCTCTGTGCTGCCTGTTCACCTCGAGTGTTTCTATTCAGTCACCAACGGGTCAAATATCAGGTGATCAACGCCAATACATACTCAAATGATGGTTTTATGCATATCTGTAAATATATTAAATATATTAATAAAATCAAAACTTCTTCAATTTGCAGATTTTTTTCTCCAAATTTTAAAAATAAGCATGATTTTGAGATAAGCTGAGGAGCCTCTGATTCACATCACTGTAACTTCAAAACCTAAATTAGCCCAAAACACTGAATTGTAAAAACAGTAATGGGTTTCACTACTGGCTGAATTATTGCTCTTGCTTCACTGTATTTTCTGCAGTTGAACCTCCCTGGCTGCACAACTGGAAACATCTGTAGTGCAGGTGAGCTGAACACAGAAAATAATCCTGACCAGAAAGAGGGAAGGACTGGCGCAACCTGTGCTGTCAGCTGCTTGTTGATCCATGACTCATGGATTAAATCAGTAAACTCAAGAGCGTCCTGGACACTGAATTAAAATGTAAAAAATGGGGTCCGTTCTGTAAACATGTATTAAATAAACTCTTGTAAGTGATGCAGCTGATAATTTCCTGAAGTGTGAATGTTGTGTGGTCTCTTGTTTGCCGCCTGACTCACACATGCCTCCGTCATGATGTTAGCACTGCTCATTATTAATGTCCCCCTTTTGTTTTTAAAAAAAAACAAAGCCTACAGTATTAAACACATATAATTTATTGATCTTCATATTAGGAAGTGGTGATTTTCTTAAGAGTTAATTAGGCGCTTATAGACAACATCACACAGTCAAACTTTTCTAATGCTGTGGGAGATGAGATGAGTCTCAGGGTGGCAAGTTGTGGAAGAAATGTTCATTCATGTTGCAGTGGATGAAAAAAATCAGAAAAACGTAAAATAATATCATTCGTCACAATGGTTGATACAGTTTCGTCCCGTTGAGCAATTTAGCGCTTACACAAATTCTCGGCAATGCAAATTCAAGCCTATCAGAGCGTCCGTATCGCATCCTGAATTTTAGGGTCTGTGTTCGTTTTGTTTCTCTCAGATCATTCTGCTCACGCTGAAATGAGCACTCGCAGTGTGTTTGAGACTTTTCCACCCTCTGCGGCAGGAATAACACCTCAGTCCGTCTCAGATCACTGCAGGACAGACGAGACTCTTTGAAAGGGGAGCGCATGGTTTCAATCCTGCAGTTAACAGTGTAAATAATGCTGCGCAGATTTTTTGCCCCTTCGTGTTTCTCGATATTCGTGTCCATCAAACATGCTGGCACATGAACAAAAAATAAAAAAAAAATTGAATCTGTTTAAAGTACGAAGAATAATTGAAATAACCTATTGAATGCATTAAAGTGTCTTTACCTTTCAAATGAATGTGGGTCAAGTGGATGAGCAACATGACGGCAGGTACATTCATCCTGAGGCTGTGAGGCTGTCCTGCTCCCGCTGCGCTCCGGCGGCGATGCTCAGACCAAATAAAATAACCTGCAGGTCGCCAAATAAAATAGGCCTACAGGAGTGAAGTCCGAGTCCGACCAGTGTCTCAGAGCATGTCCGACATGTGGAATTCAGAAAAAAAAAACCCTCAAAATGTAGGATTACTATCGAGTTAAGCATGTACCGTGCAAAGTTAAACTGAGATGGTGCTTAAATACATCCCGATAACACTGTGGACTTCCAGGAGCTCAGTGGATCTCTCTCTCTCTCAGTGGGTTGGCTTTATTGGAATGTAGGTTAAGAGCCTCCCCAGAAAATAACATATTCATCCACCTCTTGCCACCTTTGCCTTGTTTACGGCTGCAAATTAACCCCACCCCATCATGCAGCTTTCCCCCACTTAGTTTTAACTCGATACCTCGATACCTGTTCAAATGCCTCTCGTGTTAAATATATAAAATTTATAAAATATATAAAAACGTATATAAAATGTATTACAGAACTGAATCTGATAAATGCTCCCCACAGCTAAATTCACAGAGGAGGTGCATTACTGCTTTAGCCTCACCTGCTGACCAGGTTATAAGACAAAATAAAATAAGATAAGATGCTACATCTGAAGGTGCATTAATACTGAAAAAAACACAATGAAATACAGACATGTAACAGAAAAGTCATGAAAGCAGACATCAAAAAGTAACAAACACAAGTAAACAGGCATGTTGCTTAAATCACACACAACCAAATTATTGGATCTGAGAGTTATACTGTCCAAATCCAAATCCAATTCATTTATATAGCACATTTAAAAACAGAAAGTTTGCCCAAAGTGCTGTACAGAAACAAAGGGGTAAGACAAAAACAATGACACTCACATAAACACATAATAAACATATCAACTCACACCAGTCTATAGAAAAAAGGTGTGTTTTCAAAAGTGACTTAAAAACAGGAAACAAAGATGCCTATCTAATATTGAAAGGCAGCGTATTCCAAAGTTTGGGAGCCATAATTGAAAACGCTCGTTCTCCTCTATGTTTTAGCCTTGATTTCGGGACAACCAAAAGCAGCTGGTCGGCTGATCTAAGGGCCTGCGAAGGAATATAAGGCTTGGAAAGGTATGCAGGACCAAGACCATTTAGGCATTTATAAACCAGCGTTAGGACTTTGAAATAGATTCTGTCATGAACAGGAAACCATTGAAGAGAGGACAGGATAGGTGTTATATGTTTGTGCCTGCGGGTATCAGTCAAGAGGCGGGCAGCAGCATTTTGAATGAGCTGAAGATGTGCAAAAGATCCTTGGGCTGACTCCAGCATAAAGTAACACTGTGTGTTATCAGTGTTAGGAGTGTGTATTTAGTGTCCTTACCGCCCATGTGGAGAAGCTATTTCTTAATCAACTTGTTCTCCCATATGGAAAAGAAATAGTAAAAACTTATATGTGATTACTCATGAAAGTGGCCACTTTCTCATTACTTTCATACATTTTTTTTAGTAAGTATCCAAAACATACAAGTTTCATTATATAATTTTTCAAGGGATCTTATATCTGTTTTCACTCTTATATGCTTTTCATACAAGTTTCACACAAGACAGATACAAACTTTATAAGATATATCTTTTCCATATGGGCTACTTTTGATGCTTCTGCACTTCCTTCTTGAGGGCGGTATGGCTGAACGAGTGGTGGCCAGGATGAGGCGGTCTCAGATTCTTTTTGCTCTGGTGAGAGCTAGCACTCCCATACAGAGAGGTTAAAGGACATCCTATAGTCCTTTTTTAAGCTGACCTTAACACCATTTGCAGTGTTTGCTTGTCGGCTACACTACAGCCGACGTACCACACAGTGATCTCAAATGACTACACACTCCCAACCATAGAGTGGCAGAAGCTCACCAGTAGCCTCTCCTCCAGTTAACTAATCTGTCGAACCCTTAAGAGCTTCCTCCATCACAGATGTTCTGTTAGCTGACCATGAAAGCTCCTCAGAGATATGAGTTCCCAGGAATTTAAAGGTGGGGATGGGGACATACCGTATGCACATTTTATTATTGCATTGGTGGGGTGGGTGGGAGTACAGTCACGTCCGTATATGGAAAAAGGGAGAAGCGACCCAGCTTATTCACTACAATGTCAGGGATGATGGTATTAAAAGTCGAGGTATAGTTGCCAAAGAGCAGTCTTACAGCAAATCTAAGGCATTCCAGGTGACTAAGAGCAATATGGAGGGCAGTGGAGATGGCATCACTGGTGGATCTGCTTGCTTTATCGCCAGACTGATGGGGGTTAGTCTTTGATCTGTTGAAGCACCAGCCTTTAAAGCATTTTGTTCCCACAGGTGTAAGAGTGATGGGTCTGGAGTCACTGAGGCTGCGGGACAGCAGCGAGGGTGACAGGGTGAGATCGATCTTTTCATGTCTGCCCTTTTCACTTTGTTCACAGTGAGTCTCTCCTTGATTAAGTTTTTTTTTTAAATTCTGGCTCAAACTAGAGAGACATTGTGCTTATTTATCTCTTTTCAGGTCCAAATAACCAGTTTTTGCCTTTAGTTTTGTCTTTTCGGTGGCTGTGCTTTGTTTTTCCTTTTGTGTGATGAGACTGTGTCTTGGTACAGAAAGCAGGCAGTTGGTCTCATCATCCAGTGGCATAGGTTGTACTTTTCTGGCCTCAACTCTGGTGTTTGGAGGGCATCACTGGCATCACAGCTGCTGTGGTCCCATCAAGATGTTTAAATGTTGATTGATAGTTCAATGATGTCAAGATCAAAGAGCTTATTACGATTACGAGACAACAGTCTGTGACACAAAGATGGTTTCTTGCTGAATAATAGCCACTAAATATTCCTGGAAGTGAATTTCAGAGGTGGTGAAATCTGTTTTGTGTATGTCTGTGTGCTGTGCATCTATACTCATGAGGAGCCATTGGAGTTTCAGACTTCGAGGAAAAATTTTGGAAGTGAAGATATTTTATGTGCTGTGCTGAGTGTTCTCTGTATGACGCTGAGGGACGGGAATACTCAATAAAGCTGAAATGAGTTGGCACAGCGCAACTTTTCTCTGGATGTTCCTCATGAGATGACAGGGTTGAACAGCAGCTGTTCTTATTCTCATGCTTTTCTCTCGGTCTCACTGAAGAGCCTGGGGGTGCACTCGGTAACATCTTTGTTTTCTCGCTGATTTCTCAGAAAACACAATTTGATATAGTTCAGACGGTACGTGTTCATTTATCATCAAATTCCCAAGACGGACCTGTTATTTCACCTTTGCAGAAGTAACGTGAGCTGGAACAACAGTCACGTGCAGCTCATGGCACAATACTCAGTGAAAGCACTGTAGATCATTTAGAAAGTAAGAAGTAGTGCAGGTTATGTTATGCTGCTGGCTGTTAACGCTCACCACAAATTACTGGTAATTCCATTGTTTTTGCTGTTATTGATACATTTTCAGTTTTCCCCATTAGTTCAACATATCAAGTCATGAAATCACTTTCAGCATTTGGCACAAAACTGGGAGAAATTCTTAAACAACCTCCCAATAAAACACTTTTTTTCCTCACACAGTCAAACGCTGAGAGGCACTAAGGAGGATGGAGGCATAATAAAAGACCCCTGCCATCGATATGGAATCAACAAACAGAGAAAAAAAATCTACCAAACTAACTTTCAGCAGAACTCAGTCCTCACCACCATCTGCAGTGGATTTTGCTTGGAATGACAAATACACACCCGCTGAAGCGCTTCATCGCAAAAAAAGGGGAAAGGGCTTATGTTGTCGCCTTATATGTATTCAGCAGGAGATTGTAAACAGCTGGAACGGGAGACGGTTTTCTGCTTTCTGTTGCGAGAAGCGCTGCGTTAATCAACATCTATGAACGCGAGAGATCAGAAAAGGGAGCGCTCTTCCTCGTCCTTCATCGCTACAACCCACTTGTTCATTCAGTCACAAAGAGTATTCAGTATTTAAGTTTGTTTCAGGAAATCAATTTTGAAATTTAAGTTATTTAAGATTTTAATAGACAAAAAAAATTAAAAAGCCCGAAAAAAGGCAAAATAAAAACTTCTCCCATTTTGTATTTAATTAATTTTGACTGAGTGAACTGCACACACTACAAATTGTTGCAGACCTCTGTTAAATTATTTGAAAAGCTATTAACAACATAATCACAGTAACTTGCTTGTTTAAGAATATGAAACAAATAATTTTTTTTTACTGGAGTAACATCAATCATGAGGTTTTGCTAGTAATTAAGCCACTACATATGATGCACATTGATGGGAAACATTTTTTTGCTCTATTCATGTGAAAACACGTTTCTCTGAAGTTATGTTATAATAACAATACTACTACTACTACTACTAATAATAATAATAATATTACAGCACAAGTAAATCAGTAAAGCAAACACATGAACCCAGTTCATTCATTTCTACCTGCATTTAAAAACTATTTAAAAACGTATTTTTTAATATTTTTCTTCGCTCAGAAATGTAATTCATTTGATTTAATTACTTCTTGCTCATTTTTGGATCATTTTATAATGTTCGTCTTGTCACCCGGTAGTCTGTTCGTGTCTGTCTGCACTGAAAATTACACGTTTAATGGAAAAATTAAGTTAGTTTTTATGACATTAATATTTCTGATGAATACAAGCAATGAATACAGTATTTGTGTGTTATAGGAGATGGTGTTTGTTCTGTAATTTTACTAGAGAGAAATGTATTTGTGCCACAGTTACACAATCAGTCAGTTGTAGACACATCACATATTGTAACTGAACTACATATACTTCACATTTTGCATTTTTTTCATATGCAAATGAAAATGATGATATGCATATTTTCACTTTAGAAATATCACCTCCCTTCTTAACCACTAATTTGGTGCCATCTTTCATCTGAGATCATTTAATAAGATTATAACCAAGAGCTTGATGTTCTCGCATGACGCAAAAGGTTTTTTTGTGTTTTTCTCTCTCTCTATGCTGGCATCTCTCTGTGCTGTTCTACTGTCTATACATCAGAGAAATACATCACATGAGTCACACAAACTTAAACGTGGGCTTGGATAATAACTAATTCTCTGTGTGTTTTTGTTTGTTTAGAGAGGAGGCTCCTGG